GAACGTTGGAAGCACTGTCTGACGCGTCTGCCTCCGCCACCCGAAAGGAGAAGCGGCGATGGAAGATGAATGAATGAATGAATAGTGACTGTTTAAACCTATTCGTGATTAAGATGAGCAGCTCTAACCGTTTCAGCTATGTGTTAGGCAATCAGTTTTCGTCATTTATTATTGATATATTTGATATGCAGTAGATATGAATATCTGGTTATAAAGTATTGCTTTTCTTCATCACATTTCTCAAAAAGTTTTAATTTTCAAAATTAATTGAATCAAAATTAATCAAAATTGAATTTGATGTTTTCAAAATTTTAATTCAGTTGGCTGTGACTACTTAAGCTCAGGTTTCTGCTGGCCAAAATTTGTTTGTCTCTCACCTGAATGTAGCTGACTATTTATTGACATTTCAGTGCAATCCCGGCAGTTGGTTGGAATCATTGGCAACAACGCTGCTGCAGCGGCCGCTGCTGCCGCTGCTCCTCTCTACCAGCCGTTTGTTCCAGTGTCGCTGCCATTGTCGTTAGTCGATCCTCAGTTGGTCGTTCCTTCAGCATGGCCCGGCCGATTCCTCACATGGCCTATCGCCGCTGCCGCCGCTGCAGCAGCGGCAACCGTTTCACGAACAGCAACAGCAGCATCCGTCAATTTTCTTGGCCACGCCACCACCTCCGCAGATCCTGGTGCTTTTTTAGTCTCTACGGCAGCCCCCAGCAGCGGCGCAAATATAGCGCAACTTTCGTCACTTAATATCCAGGCTGGATCGGCTGCCCGACCCGCGGCACGCAGCAGAGTAAGTAGAGATCTTTCCAGATGATGTACCTAATTGAATTTGTTAACACTGTATATTCATCCTAGGTTTGATCATCCGTTGGTGTTTCTTATGCATTATGAAAAGTTTCTTCGCCCACATGCAATGTACAAAAGTCTGTCCGTCCCTCAGTCCCTTGTTAATTTTATATTTCGATATAGCAGGTTAAAAAGATTTTCTCATATCGTCACTCTGTGGCACAGGTGCCTCAAGTAGATTGCAAAGCGAGGCCTCTGAAGTGTTCAGCATGGTCCAGATGTCCAACGTATTTCTGACCTGTGAATAACTACTATAAGAGAATAATGACAAAAATAGCGTCAGAAACGGTTTACCTATACACAACGCAAGACGTGCTGTGGTCATTCCGGTGATTTACAAATACAGACGTTTCAGGCCGTTTCTCAGGCGTTTTTTTAGGGTAGGTTGGTGATGAAATTTCGTTAATGTGGTTGGTCTTCAGAGCCAGAAACCTTCCGACAACCAAAAGGAAAAGGAGAAAGTTAATTAGAAGTTTAATCTGAAATCGAATTGAAATTCCCCATCTTTGGCTGTCTGAACCGAAAACTTCACTTTTGTCTGTCATTTACTTTTGTCACGCATTTCATTGCAAAATGATTTGCACGTAATACTCGAACTTCAGTTCTTAATCACAGATATCAATCATTTGTCGTTTCGTTGTAAAGCTGTCCTGCTGGCATTTTGCTGTTTACTATAATTGCTTATTTTCTAGGATGAAAATATCTTATCACATCCTTGGATAGTTACCGTACCTTCACGGCATCCTGACATGACGTCTGTAGAGAAGAACGACGCGTAAGTTCGCTCATGTTCTTATAAGCGGAATATTAATAAAATACTGACTATTAACTAATGGGCCATAATAGTAAATATAAACCCTATTGCTCTTTAAACAGATATATTGATCGTAGGCCGAAATGTGTTAATGTGTCCTTAACTTCCCAAAGGTCATATTGCACTGCTGTCTAACTTCTCGTTGTGTTGGAGCTCTTGAACGAAGCTATGTTTCCATAGTATTCCAATGCCTATAATGCTATTTATATCTCGCAGCATTAAGTTTAAAAGGCAGATTTTGAGAGTTGAGCATTTGTTAAAACGTTGGTGCATGAACTGTGAATCATTACGTGAAGTTGCCGTTTATGCAGCACCCTGTAAGAAGTGCCGGTTTCTGAAACGATGTTCATAATGAGCAGAAGATTGCCCTAGTACTAGCAAATAAGCTGATCTGAGATACATTTAGTACTATAGGTGCTCAAGATCGTTGGACCGCAACTTGCGTATATGGTTTTACAGACAGATATGTGCAAGGGGCGGCGTAACAGTGGCATAAGATATGGTCTCTGAGAAGCCAGGCACGTTCTTCTGTTCATGTAACGGAGATTCATTTAATTCACGGTCAGATTCAAGTTTTAATGACCTACAGCAACCCTTCAAACAGAGCATGTTTTTTAGCGGAACATGCACAGATTTTCGTAAGACAGAAAGTCAAAGCTGATATGTGCTAGGAGTGCAGAAATTACTACAGGCTTTACTGTCAGTGCCAATATGAAATGCATCATCTGGTCGTCCAGGAAGATTGAACGTTTAGCCAAACTGTAGAACTGATGCCACAGACCTGTCGGTTCTTAGAAATAAAAAGTTTCTGACAGAACTCAGGGTTTCGTTATGAAACAGCCATTTACTTTTCTAATAAATGATGGGGTCAGAAGTTCTCTAAGTTCTTTACGTTTTGATAGCGTAGCCGAATGATTTCATTTTTATGACACACGTTAAAATTGTACAACCCGTAACAGTAAAGGTGATTTCGACTTACCAACACCAGATTCACGGCGATATGGCTGCCCTCCTTGCTCCCAAATGCTAAGACGATCGCTTAGCAGCCAATTCTCCATGGCAGTTGCTGTGCAAAAATACTTCATATAGTTTCTTTGACCAGGGCAATGATTAGGTCATCGTCAGATCAGCTGGCACTCTATATCCATTTTTTAAGACGTTGGAAGTATGGGCTTGTCTTTAAAGCAAACTTTTAACTTCACAATGCAGTCTTTCACAGAGTTATGAGGCTTTTTCTTAATTTTAATGCATGTTGAATCATTTAACCACCGCTTTTGCAGTACTTAGATGCATTTCGATTCATTTCATTGGTAATACGAATATTTTGATCATTGCCATAGATGTTTCCGGGGTCAGAATTTATGCTACCAGTTAAATAGAAAACGATTTCAGGCATCGCCCACACGTTGATTTAAGAAAATGGTGTAGCTATTGTAATGCATGTATGTGCTTCATGTTTTAATGTGAAAGAAAAAAGTAAGTGATTTCTGTAGGAGCGCTTTTCCATAATTAGGTCCCACCAGTACTTCCGTTGAAGTACTTATTTTCACGTTATTGAGTTTGTTTGTAGTTTATCGCTCTTCGTGCCTGTTTTTTTTGTGTTGAAACTGTGGGTGACGCGCCGTTCCTACATTGAATCTAATCATTCTTCTTGTGAAATTTGAAGTTTAAAAGTTTACTGGGAAGGTATATTTGCAAGAGAATGTCTGTTAATAAATAATATTTCTGGTTTCTAATTCCGGACCCATAGTTATATGCATAGTTGTTTGAATGATTCATGGTTCTGGGCACCAAATACAGCAGATGGTAAATAGTTTAATGCTATTGCGTTTCATTGCAGTGACCGCAGCATCATCAGGGCTGGACGCATATGCATCTGTCGCCTGGGGAAAACAGAAACAGCGAAAATATTAAATACGTCAGATTTACTTCATTTGGCTAACAGCTAAGCATCGATTGGTCAGTACTGATGTATGTGACAGCAACTTTCGACCAATAATGGGCTTGATGCGTGTTGTTGAATGATGTGGCTGTTGCAGAATACTTGACTATGGATTGATCTACATGATCTCGAACGTTCATTCATCTGCATGATCGTGCCTAAAAAGCTGTTCAACAGACTTGATCTTTCCTTTTTAAATTATACATTCGAGAGATATACAGAGGGTGATGAGCAGATTAGTTCGTAGAGACTGACTGACCGTTTTATTCAGAAGCCTAGAGGTATGACATAAATCTGACATATGAAAGCGAAGAGTGCCTGGCTCGAAATTAGGCAGTGCATTTCGAGCAATCGCAGATCAAGTATATCCTAGAGATTGTGCTACAATTGTATCAGAGTAGCGCAAGCAAGAAGTACTGGCCAGTACTGGTCACTAGTTACAACGATTACCTGGATGTCATGACTCTGTGAAATCC